CCCCAAAACCCCAAAACCCCAAAACCCCTTTAATCCCAAGAAAAATTGAAATCCCTAATAAAAATATGGAAGATTTGACTATGATTGGTCAAGATTCCCTTGAAAAAGATCCTAAATTTGATAGAGCAAAGGGAGCAATCATGGGCGCTCTCTGTGGAGATGCTATCGGAGCAGTGCTAGAGTACCATCCAACAGAGATCACTCATGAAGATGGTAAGCATTAGAGATTCAGTATAGCAATCAATGCATTCACAATGCCAGGGGGAGGAAGCCATGGAAATGGAGAACTCAAGTGCGGCAAAGGTCAAATTACAGACGACGGAGAAATGGTCATCTGTCTAATGCATGCTCTATGTGCTGGAGAAGGTAAGCTTGACAGACACCAGATTGCATATTATTACGGCAAATGGATGAAGACTGACCCCTTCGATTTGGGTAAAACTTGTGGGAGTTCTCTCAGAAATGCTAACCCAGATTCACCAAATCCTGATAAAATCCAAGAAGATGCGAAAGAATCTGAAGGATCACTTAGTAATGGAGCCTTAATGAGAGCAACCCCAATAGCTGTCTTCTGTCATAAAATGATATGTGATAAAACAGAGGATACAGAGGAAGAGGCAGATACAGAAGAAGATATCTCAAAGTCTATAAAACATAAGAACTGAGTGTATAAAGCAGCAGTAGAAGATGCCATGTTTACTCACTGTAACCAGACAGTTCTATGGATCAATTATTTGTATTGATACATCATCTCACTAATCATTAATGAAACAGAACTGACAGAAGTCTACTCAATTGCATGTAAAGAAATCGAAGAAAGCAAAAATGAAGATATCATTTCATGGTTCGAAGAATCCAAAAATGAAGAACTTGGAAGCTTGAAAAAGCATGCAGGTTGGATCAAACATGCCTTTATCTGATGAATGAGGTATCTCAGACTTGCCACAGAATCAGAAAACCCAGGTGAAGCTTTCTACGCTAACTCTCTCATCGAAATTCTCAAAGGAGATGGAGACACAGATACAAATGCTTGAATTGCCGGAGGATTAATCGGATCTATAATAGGATACTCAAACCTCCCTTCTCTCTCCACCTCTAAAGTCCTTTCCTGGCCTTCATCCCCTTCCGACGGTATCCCCAGAGCCTCCTTCCTCCACCCAAGCAAGCATGCTAATCCCCTCATCAAATCCCTCTTCCTGCTCTCCCCTACTAATCTCCAAATCTCCTAAACCACTAAATTTTCAAAATTTGTTCATAAACAAGGGGTTTTGGGGTTTTGGGGTTTTGGGG